ATCTTTTGTATTATTACTTTTTATTCTCAGTTGGGGCATCCATATTCATAACAACGCCATGCATGATATCCTGCCACCAACAATCTCTAAGTTCTGAACTGCTGACATGACTGCCTTCTTCCTAACAGTTCCGTCCCATTTCCAGTGCCATCCGTGTTCCACCTAGCTTCCTTACTCTCATTAAATGTAACTTTCACTTCCGTTTTCAACAAAGAGACTCCTTAGGTTCCACGTTCCATACTTTATATCCACGACTGGACACACATAGATCCCCTCGAATCCTGGACCGCAGAACCCACATGTACATTTCTGCTAATCAATACTCCCTCCGATACTAAGGAAATTATTGGTACTTCTCAGATTGGATTGTCATGTATCTGCAATCGATCCTAAAATATTACGTAGCTGAATACAAATCACAAAAGGGTTTATTCCTCGTCACAAATACATACTTCCATACTAATCCACAACGACCCATCTTAATATCGCAAAATGTATACAGTACACGGCACTCAGTACGCTTATACGCATATAAACATCGAAATAAGCTTTGGACCATTACAACCATTACATATTTCGCTATAGAATACATACATCTACCACAAAATTATTACTGACTTCTACCTATTACGTAGCATTTCACTTTTTTTCCTTGGCACTACAGCCCCAGTGGGCCTAGGTCTACCTCCATGAACTCCGTTCACTTCGGTTTTTCTAGATCTTACACATTCGGGAGGACTCCTTGGGCGAGTGATCAGCTCGTCGCAAGGCCTCTACCTGTAAACAAACACAGAAAAACGCACACAAACATCCATGCCCTCAGTGGGATTCGAACCCAAGATCCCGGCTTCCGAGCGAGCGAAGACAGTGCATGCCTTAGACCGCCCGGCTACCGTGACCGGCAGCGTTTCACTTAACATAAAGTAAATCTGATAGGCAACAAAACAGCCCCACTTAAGCTTGCAGTGATGGGGTACAAAGTTCATGGAGGGACCGAACTACTGACATTAGGACTCTGGTTCCAGAGTCTGACCGTCTTTTTTCTAGGGGACACTTTGGACAGGAGCCTGTCAATCAGTAATTTACTTCATTAATAAATCAATATCTTGGACTGTATATCAATTTAAGCAATGATCTGCCTCGCACTTTATTCGCGAAAGCCGCTGGGCTTCAATGGTGACAGAAGATCAAACAATTTCTCTTTAATTATATTATGCATTCACTATAATACACGGCCGATCGCAGTGGCCGGGCGGTCTGAGGCATGAAGTGCCTTCGTCCTCTCGAACACTGGGATCGTGGGTTCGAATCCCACTCGAGGCATGGATGTTTGTCTGCGTTTATTCTGTGTTGTCCTCTGCAGGTAGCGGCCTTGCGACGGGCTGATCCCCCGGTCCAAGGAGATTTACAGACTGTCTAAAGACTAAGAAACTGAAGTGAAGCAAAGCGTTCCACGGATGCCCTATCCTCCAAGTGGGAGCAACAGAAAAATGAATGAATGAGAATATACTGGATAGAGAGAGCCACGTTAAGATATCAGTATGCCAACATGACAATCAGGATGACACAGTCAGATGCAGCGGAACGCCCGGGCTTGCATTAGCAAACGAACAAGCACACTTGAAACTTGCAGACCGCGCGCTATGACCAAACGTCGGGATGTGTATTGAGGAGGGACTATGAGAGTCTTGCATCCACGAAGGCAAAATTACTACCCTCCAACTACTGCAGTAATAATTACATCTCCTTAGCACCAAACTTGCGTTAGACCGCCATGAGTACGGCTGAAATATACCAGCAACCTACAGAGACAACAAAATCCCTCTTAAAGATTTTCGTTTCAGTGCTTGGTCCTTGTGAGGGGGCTCCGTCTGGGAGACGCGCACCTCCACCAAACTGCTGAGACCGAATTTGTTGTTACGTCACAGCTCTCCTGCAGCGCCAGCTTCGAGGTTGCGGTTTTAACCAGTTGGCCGAAAATGGTGTCGTGCGGCTGGGGAGGAACAATCTTTTTCGTCATATTTTTGAGAGTTCACGGAAATTTGATATTAAGGAAGAATTTTTTGTTGATTTTGATAGTTTTTAGTATGAAACTCGTACTTATTCTGACTTATCTGTCATGCGCTCGGCTTCCACTGCTTCGTAGCAGCAACAGTATTCTCATTAAATAGATTCAGTAGCCATCTCTTTCCCAGGCCGTCGCCACCGCAATAAGCCAAGTACTGACTGTCACTATTTGGAAGTTAGCACTGTTGTGGGCCATACCTTGTCAAACTCACATATAAATTGAAATTATTCTATATCATTCTTTTCTATTTTCATTTTAATTACGAGGGAGAGTCAGTAAATAGGTCACAAATGGATATAAAGCGTAAAATACATGACATTCGAACCTGAAAAAGCATTTTTTCCTCGACATATCCTCCACCAACATGGATACGCATGTCCCATTACTTCGCAAGTGTGCCGAAATATACAGCACATTTGTCTTTTGACTGTTGTCTCAGCAACTTAATCTCACACCTAACAGTGTAGTTACATTATAAAAAACCGGCAGAATACATAAATATTATCTTCTGCACTGGTGAGGGTGACGGTAGTGTTGATAAAAAACACACGTCATGTTACCATCAAAAAGACCGTTCAAGGAAAGTGCCCCTCAAGGGCTGTGATGGTCACTGTTCATACAGCATGCATGTCATGTTGCTTCATCACCCCTTGCACATAAAATTGTTGCAGCACACTACCAATAATCAGCATGACAATCAAGGGGCCTTATAGGCAAATCAACGAATATAGCCTGCGACATTAGGCGACTACTGTTAGTTTCTAAAATCTCCTTTAAGACTCGGTATAGTTGCCCCTGTGCTTAACTATTTAAGCACTACGCCATGAAGACGTGTGGTGAAGTGGACGTACAGATCCGATTTTCTTGACCTCGGCACTAGTTGGAGTGGTCAGCTTCACGCTTCGGCCGCTTTAACCCTAGGGAAAATCCACGTTACCCATTGCATAGGAGAATGGGTGGACCCCAGACGTGGAGAAGAGAAAAATTTCGACCCCTACCGTAACTCGAACTCCGACCCTTACGTCGTCCAGCCCGAAGCCAGTCGCTATACCGACTATGCTATCCCGGCTCGTACTTTAAGACTTGCTGAATCAAATTCTGTCATGAACAAAATTCACGTTGCACGATATCTTTCTCTGTCATTTTCCGGCGTATAACCTAGTTTTGGGAAATCTTGAAGTATGGAGTCCACAGTAATGAACTGAACAAAGTTGTTACGTCCTATTCCTTTTGCGGTTACCATACACTTTTCCTCTCCAACTCTCCCTGACTGTGATCCCTTCGTTGTTAGCCTTAAGTTCACAGATATCTTTCGCTTATTACAACAAATGAATGCCCTGATATGCCCATAGGGACATTCATGGAAATGTACAACATACTTCATACGAGCAGCTACGAGTATCTACAGTTTCTATAATTCTAGTACGAAAAACCTGACGTTTAAAATAATTTATCGTTTTTAACATTATCAATTTAATGCTGAGTAAACTATTTTATTTTTATTTTATGAGAGCTGATTAATTCTTACTTTGTTTTTCACTCGAGGTTGTAGTTATCATTTTGAGCGTCTCCTCACCAATACCAATCGCTACATTTTGCATTAGTTTTATTTTCTGGTGTTTTATTTGCTGCAAAATATGACGGACATCACACGCCTCTGGCGCGTCAGTGTTTTTCTTATGTATGAATCCCACAGCCTACTGGCTAAAAATAACCTAGCCTCGAAAGGGTTAGTCAGGCGCAGAATCACAGCAGCTTGTTTCTTCTAAGCGCAAGTTCTGTAAAGAATTTTGGCATCCATCAAAATCGTAAATCAAATGGCCGGCTAGGTTACAACAGACTGAAGCAATCGCTACAGCTTTGAAGCAACAGCTATATACACTGGCATCAGGAACTCCTGGGTTACCGCTTTAAGGCCAAATGATAAGCAGGCAAGCAAACAGCGTCTCTTCACGAGTCCATGTTCGCACAATCACCTGAACCATTTCCTCACAGCGGGATGTACCTCGCACACATTAGCATTATCCCTTCACAGGGAAGCTTACAGGACCACTGAAACCCCTCAGCTCTATTCGCAATGCATGGGGTTCAAACAGAGGACGGGTAACCGGCAAACCCGGCTAATGGCTTTCCATCTCCCCCAAAGTACTTCAGCTTAATTATTCGATACTACCTGGAAACAGACAGCGGCCTATCACTGTAATTAGATGTCGTTAAGTTACAAATAAATAACAAAAAGCAAAACCAAACTCCGTGGCTTTAGTCCGCAAGCGAACTATACAGATCGAGGGGCCACCGCTTGCGGAATAAATCAGTACCAACTTCAGTGGACAGACGGTAACGAGTGGTCAGAGCAACGAATCCCCCACAGCCGTTAATTTCCGTTTTCTAGACCGGAGCCGCTATGTTTCCTTTCAAGTAGCTCCTCAATTATCCTCACGAGGCTAAATGTACCCCGTTCCAGACCCACTACTTCTCAGAAAGCTGAAAGCACCGGGAATCCAACTAGGGACCTCTGGATCTGTAGCCAAGGAACTCCGACCACAGATGCATGCTAAAATATACGCGTATATGATTCACATATCAGCGATACCGTACGAGCAATACTGCGATCAACAGCTGCTTCCCCATCTGAAAGAGAACAAGGCCACTCTACTTGGGTACAGTGCGATCGCATTTTATGCTAATTTCAAACAGTGCGTTATAAAAATATTACTGAAGTCTCAATTTAACCGCAAAAAAAAGAAAGAGAAGATAGAAACAATGCGAATCCCAAAATATTCGGCAAGAATGACGTTTCAAAACTTTTCTTGAATCATGCGATGTCCTTAGGAACGCATCCTCGCATAAAATGCGCCCGCACTGTAGCTCTGATACAGGCATAGGCCCGCCATCCAATCTTAATATGAAGGAAATGAATACAGATACTTACAATACTAACCGTCTGTTGTTCGATGCCGTTCGGAGTAACAGTGGGTGGTGAAAACGGGGGTACAGCTACCGGTGGACCCTCCTTTCCAGGTTCGGTCTTGGGGGGGCCCGCTTCCCCATTTTGGGGGTACTGCGTCGCATAGGGTGTCGCCATTCCCGTCTGAACCATGTGCTGTAAATAACAACAAACAATAATTTAGATGCACAGCAAAAGAAATTAATTATCTTCGTGAAGGCCACATATTCTTACGCAGAAACAACAAGAAAGGCCACGCAATGAGCTACATAATAGTAAGGGTGATCATGTATACTTCCGCAGAACAATCGTATATATATGTTTCGCTGATTATGTTGAGCATTTCGGAACACTCAATCCGAATTCGAAAACGCGTATACACAAATGTGACGACCTTTAATGAAGGCCTAATTTTAGTTTTATATGAATTTGTAATTTCAATAGTAAATCCTACACATGATCACATAGAAAAGTAAATCGGTACCCTATTGCTGTATACCCCAGGATGACGTAAAGGTAAAGATAAGTTCCCCTGTGCTTAACTAATTAAGCACTACACGCGATGAAGCTGTACGGTGTAGTGGATGTGTAGATCCACGTATTCTTGGCCTCGGAACTAGCTGAGTGGTCAGATCCACGCCCTGGTCGCTTTACCTCGGAGAATGATCCACCGATATCCAATGGATAGAAGGTTGGATGACGTGGAGAAAAATCTTCCCTTACCAGGGCTCGAACTCCGATACCTCAGCTGCCCAGACCCTAGTCAGTCGCTATACCGACTGCGCTATGCATACTCTAGGATAAGCATATGTAAAATTTACTTCTTTTCGCAGAGTTCACGAAGTGTATGCCAGAACAGCCTTAAAGTCGCCAGCTTCTGCATATTGCAACAACACAGCTCAGGATAAGCAAAATGGTATCTGTTAATAAATAATTCTTATGCTCACCCTACTAATGATTCTGACATACCGCGCTTTCCCACCAACGGAGGTATATTTACAGACGGTAGGCTGTGCCAGCTTATCTGCGTAACTCTGAAAAAAACAAAGGAAAGGGTAACGCTATCCCTGTAACACGCCGGAGGCCCATAAGGTTGTGAGACGTTGTTGCTCCCACATTTTCTCTAGACAATCGGCTCACAGATGTCTGTTGGGATGATACCCTTACGCTCCCGCTGCCCTTTAACCCCCCAGGAAGATTCCTGGTACTCATTTCTGTTAAAGGCTGAGTTGACCACAGGGCCATAGTGCGGCTGGAAGGATTAGGTAAATTGAAAAAAAATCCAACTCATCGGGACTCGAACCCGCAACCTTCCGGCTTGTAGCATAGTGCCTCAACCAAATACGCTACTGCGTTCCCTTTCTGAAGAAAAAATACGAGTATTACCACCGAGGTCGGATAGTGATTACGATTTGGCAGAGTCATTTCCGATATATGCAATTGGGCACTTATTTCCATACCTTCAATGCACAGGAACAAGAGCATTTCCAGTAGAGCAAACTCCACACAAAACAAAGCATAACAATGGCTTAAACAAACTACTGGTCTTGTTATAAGAGCACGAAAGTAGCAGCCAAAATGGCATGCAAGCAGAGCGTGAGTCCCGTGCGTGTGATGTCCAACTAGCGATTTTCGGCACACCCCCTCACACACAGTCACCGTTGTCAAGGGGACATATATTTATTTCCTGTATTAACCCATCATCAGTTTGGAAGAATATGATATTCAGCCTACCAGGGCCAGAGTTATTCGAAGTAGTAACTCATGTTAGATGGCAGAGTTCAGCTATTTCGGAAAGATGATAACAAATCAAAACCTGATTCACGAGTAACTTAAGAAGAGATTCAGGCCATGCTCGCTACCATTCAGTCCAGAATCTTTTCTCTTCTTGTATGCTGTCTAAAATCATAAAAATCAAAATATACAAAACTGCAATTATGCCTGTGGTTGAAAGTGTTTGAAAACATGGTGCTGAACAGATTATTGGGACCGAAGAGAGATGAAGTGACAGGAGGTTGGAGAAAACTGCATAAAGAGGAGCTTCATAACTTGTACTCTTCTCCAAGTATAATCAGAATAATCAAGTCAAGGAGGATGAGATGGACATGGCATGTAGTACGAATGGGAGAGAAGAGGAATGCATATTAGTGGGAAAGCCAGAAGAGACCACTAGGAAGACCAAGGCGCAGGTGGGTGGACTATATTAAAATGGGTCTTATATAGAGATAGGATTTGATGGTATGGATTGATCTGGCTCAGGATTGGGCCCAGTGGAGGGCTCTTGTGAACACGGCAATGAACCTTCGTGTTCCATAAAATGCTGGGAATTCTTCAATGGCTGCACAACTGGTGGATTCTCAAGAAGTGCTCAGCTCCATGAGGGAACTCATCTTATGTGGGGTTCCAGTACGAAATTTTGACATGTACTATACGAGTTATATTAAACGAAGAGGATCAAAAATAAATAAATCGATAAATTAAATGGGAGTTAAGTCTTGATCAAACTGAAAATCATACTTTTTTGCAAACAAGAAATTACACTTCATTAGTATTCTTCCATCTAAGCCTAGGCCTCCCTTCACGAGTCCTGGCTAAAATAGAGTATGTATTTTTTATCTTTCCTTTGCTTGCCACATGGCCTGCCCATCCCACCCCCACTGATCTGATGAAGAGGACAATCTATGAAGCTCCTCACTGCGCACTTTCTCCTTCTACATAGGTTAAGGGTAAAGGGGGAGTTATCTCCAGGCTTAATTAACTATACCATGAAGACGTATGGGGACTGGAGGTATTAAGAAAGCAGTCTTCTGGGATTTGGCACCGTGTATATGTGGTGTTAACCGACGTTTCGGAGGAACGTATCGTCTCCATCTTCAGGGTAGAGGAAAGAATATAAGAAAACTGCAAGCGAAGAGACCGTGAGAACCGGTAAAAGCAGGCGATACGTTCCTCCGAAACGTCGGTTAACACCACATATACACGGTGCCAAATCCCAGAAGACTGCTTTCTTCATAGTCACCGCCGTGAAAGCCTCAAATCTTACATACTGGAGGTATTGTTGCACAATTCTTTGCCTCAGCAATAGTTTTAGAAGGTCCATAGCAATATCAGTCACACTTATAATTCAAATAAACTCTTGAAACGTGTGGATTCGTGCAACCTTAATAACGTATGAGCCAGAAGCTGCGAATTACCATAAGGTGAGTATATCGCGAATCCTAGACACTTCCTGGGCCCCTACACAAAACCTACTGCAGATCTGCATATCATGAACTATTTCCAGAATAGCCTGGTGATTGCGCCTGTTAACTATACTTCTTTAATTGCATCATGGATTTGTCACTTCTCGCAAGAACCACATCGGACACTGCGCACGTGATGTGCTTCAAAATCTGTTCAACAAATGTCCTATAAGTATGGGAAACTCAGTACTACAGGCGTGTGTCTACATACAAACCCCTGTTATTCCGGGCAACAGTGGACATGCCACGGCCTAACAAGCCGATCTAGTGATGCATATCTTGATCAGTATTAATTCGGCGAAGTTCGCCAATATGATGAGATCACTCAATCCCGCTTGACAGATAAGTCGAATTGTTAGCTATTTTAAAATCTAATTAACTTTTAATTACTCCTCCTAGCGGTAAGTGTACATCGTGGTTGTTTTGTCGCACACAACCCTCCAAGTGCACGGGCGCAAGCGTGGAACACAGGCTACAATTTGCTGGTTGCACGCTCCCATAATACCGAGAGAATTTACAAAATTTTCAGATCCATTTGTGTTTCATCACTGTGCGCTCAGAACCGACAGAAACAGGTAAAGACGATTAAGTATTTTACGCAAAAAGTTCCCTGTTTTAAGTAGATTCTAAAGGTGACTGAAGACAATGTATAACACTCGGAATTGCCGGGATTTTGGACTTTAACCACCAACCGGTATTCTAAACATCTAGAACATAACGCTTCGGAAACTGGATATGTTTCCGTCCTTAGATGATGGAGAGACCGGTCCAGAACCAATTTCCGAAACGCTGTGTTCTCTAGTTCTTTATAATACCGGTTGATAGGTAAAGTCCATAAACCCAATAATTCAGAGTTTCCTGTTTTATTTATTATTACCTAACGAACACAAATTTATATCGCGTTTACTGGATATCACAACGCGACCACGAAATCGAAGTGTGCCATACTAAAATACTGCAGACCTAACTGTCGTGCCTCCAAGGGCCATGAGTCAGGAGCACGTCGCAACCGTTAACTTCCACAAACGAGCCTTTCCTTCTTTAGGCGGCCCATACACGTACGAATCTTGGCTCGCGTGTCCGGCTCGGATTAATTTCACCACACACGTATAAGTGTGGCGACCCACACACGGATGAATTTGGTTCACTGGAACCCGTGCCGAGTCGGACTCGCGAGCCAGACTCGTACGTGTATGGGCCCCCTTAAACTTAAAAGCGGGAAACCCCACAAGCTCTACTAAGATCCCAGAATTAACCACTGAGGTGACAGATGGATATCCTTCGTCACGCTGAGTGCCAAATAGTGATTTTGGCATCGGTCAAGCAACGCTTTCGCGATAAGGGACGAATTTCTGTCCCAGGGGAGCGTAGACATTGTCGACTGTGTAATGTGGGCGTGAAACAGTTTCTAACACAGCTCTCTTGATGTCCAAAACATAAAGGTTTTGAATGCATCAGAACAAATAGCGTTCCTGTATTGGGAGAGATATTATCTCGATCACACTAATGGTCGCGAGGGGATCCATTTCCGTTCCACTTCATCTATTGTGCCGAATAAGAGGGCGTCATCTTCAGTGACGTAGACCGTTACGTCATAATTAGTATGTAACTAGATTATAGTTTCGACATACTTCCGGTATTTAAACGCCGGTGGGAGATTCATACAATATGCAAAGGGTTTACCTACCGTAAGGTTACTTACATAAGGCATGTCTTACCCTGGGGCGTTTCTACAGTCATTGCTACGCCCATATGTGGGCAGATCCTAGGGGGGCCTATGAAGAGGAGTTATACTAATATGAACATGGATAACATAAAAAATCCGAGGGGAAGTTCTGCTAGTCTAATTTAATTTGGGCTGCAGATAAAACAGAGGCTTTATAACTGACGGTAATGCAACACAATTAAATTCGC